ATTCTTGAAATTATGTTTCGGTCCAAGTGTTTCAGGAGACTTAAATTGCTCGTTTTGTTTTTATTCTTTTAATATACTGAACACTGTGGTCATATCGATTACCAAAATTTGAGCTATCTTAGAAACACATTTCTTTTTCCAGTACTTCAGTAGGTAAGACCGAAGCAGTTTCCTGCTCAAATACGTATTTGTAGACATTGCGTACCATAAACTTTTCGGTAACGCTAAGAGAAGCCCGTGATCTCTTCTTTTTTGGGGAAAAGGAGCTTTTGCTCGACGTGCTTGGTTGAGTTTCCATATCGTTTGTATGAAACAATATAAAAACACAATAACAAACAACACAAACACTACGTAACAAAATACTTAACAAGAAACTAAAGAAAATCAACATGAGAACAGCGCGCAGAGAAAATATTCGAGCGATCAGACCAGAGGTTAGAAGCCGAATGAATGACAAGACAACTGACACACAAAATGGCGACCGACACGGCGGGCGCAGAGTGCGTTCTGAAAGTCAGAGCGCCCCCTCGAGTCACAATAATATTAAATTATTATTCTTTCTAACAATATTTTTTCTGTTTATTTCAATGATATAATATTCGTCAACAAGATTCACAATGTCAATCAAGATAGGTTAATTTAATTTTAGTCATAATCATCAAGTCTTCGTATACTAACTGACTGACTGAACGCATCACTATTACAATGAACCTGGCAACATTATTTCACAAAGTGACATTAGCATTTGTCAGGCAGCTTCATCATCATCATCATTACAGCCCTTCACAAGTCCACTGCTGAACATAGGCCTCCCCCAAAGAATGCCACAAAGCACGGTCCTGAGCCACCTGCATCCATCGACTTCCTGCATGTCTTACCAGGTCGTCACTCCATCTCGTGGGGGGACGCCCTACACTTCGCCTACCGGTACGAGGCTGCCACTCGAGAACCTTTCTTCCCCATCGGTTGTCGGTTCTTCGAGCTATATGGCCGGCCCACTGCCACTTCAGCTTACTAATCCGTTGGGCTATGTCGGTCACTCTGGTTCTACTGCGGATATCCTCATTCCTAAGTTTATCACGCAGAGAAACTCCGAGCATAGCCCTCTCCATAGCTCGCTGAGCGACCTTGAGCTTCCTCATACGGCCAGCAGTGAAGGACCACGTCTCAGTTCCGTAAGTCATCACTGGCAACACGCACTGGTTGTACAATTTCGTTTTAAGGTTTTGAGGTATGTCTGACGAGAAGATGTGTCGTAGCTTCCCGAACGCTGCCCAGCCGAGTTGAATCCGTCGATTGACCTCTCGGTCGAAGTTGGACTTACCCAGTCGGACTATTTGTCCCAGGTAAACATACTCGTCAACAACTTCGAGCTTAGTGCTCCCAACAACTACCGGCATAGGTGTGACATGGACATTAAACATAATCTTTGTTTTGTCCATGTTCATCTTAAGACCTATCCGTTGGGAAACACTATTGAGGTCATTGAGCATAGTGCTTAGGCCCTCCAGCGATTCTGCCATAAGGACTATATCGTCGGCAAATCGAAGGTGAGTGATGTACTCGCCATTGATGTTGATACCGTACCCTTTCCAGTCCAGAAGCTTGAAAACGTCTTCCAATGCAGCGGTGAAGAGTTTCGGGGATATGACGTCACCCTGTCTTACACCTCTCTGCAATTGGATAGGTTTCGTACTCTGGTTCTGTACTCGGATAGCCATCGTAGCCCTACTGTACAAGCACTTCAACACTTCGATATACCGACAGTCAACTTGACACCGCTGAAGGGACTGCAGCACCGCCCAAATTTCGACGGAATCAAAGGCTTTCTCATAGTCCACATACGCCAGACATAGTGGCAAATTGTACTCTTCGGACTTCTGTACAACTTGCCGAAGGGTATGTATGTGGTCTATGGTGCTAAAGCCCTTTCGGAAACCGGCTTGTTCGGGAGGCTGGAAGTCGTCAAGTCTGCGCGCGAGACGATTCGTAATGACTCTCGAAAACAGCACGTAGACGCGGCTCAGAAGGGAAATCGGTCTGTAGTTCTTCAAGAGAGCGTTGTCACCTTTCTTGAAGAACAAGACCACCGCACTTCTGCTCCACGCCTCCGGTGTAATGCCACCATGGAGGACGGAATTAAAGAGCTTCTGAAGGACTTCAAGTACCGGTCTTCCACCCGCTTTCAGGAGCTCCGCTGTAATTCCATCCTCGCCTGGGGCCTTACCGTTTTTAAGGTGCTGGAGAGCCATTCTAATCTCGCTCAGACTGACGTCCGGGATATCTTCGGAATAGTGTCGGATGAGACTCGCTCTTGGATCGTTACTCACATTTGCGTGTGGCTCCAACGATGACGTGTACAGCTGCCCATAGAACCTCTCAATCTCACTCAAAATCTCAGGTGTCCCGGAAACGATGCTGCCACACTCTGTCTTCAGCTTTGACAGTTGGCTCTTTCTGGCAGACAGATCTCTGGCAAAGACTTTGGAGCCTTGGTTCCGCTCGATCGCTTCTTCAATACGAGCTGTATTGAAGTTGCGTAAGTCCCGCCGCATGCATTTTGAGATCTGTCTGTTCAGATGCCTGTATGCTGTCAAGTCTGTTGAAGAATGTAGCTTCATCTCCCGTCTAACAGCCATGAGATTAAGAGTGTGATCGGAGAGTTTTTGTGTTCTTCTGCGGCGGGTCTTGCAGAACTTAGCTCCGACCGCATGGACAGTTTCCACGAGCTTGTCATTCATATCGTCCACTTCATTGCAGTCTTCTAGGCACTGAAAACGGTTTTGTAACTCGAGCTGAAAGGTTTGGGGACCTTGGATTAGAGCACGAGGGGGACGGAGCGTTGACTTCATTAGACGAGACCTCTCCAACTTAACGTTTAGGTTCAGTGTGCCTCTAACCATTCGGTGATCGCTACCAGTTTTCACCCTTGCGATCACGGAGACATCACTGAACAGTTGTCGTCTGGTCGTCATAATGAAGTCAATCTCATTTTTTGTCGAACCGTCGGGGCTCGACCAGGTCCACTTCCTGTGGGGCCACTTCTGGAAGAAAGAGTTCATCATAAAGAGTCCCTCTTTCTCCATGAAGTCGGCCAGCTGCTGACCCCTTGGGTTCCGTTGCCCTATTCCAAATTTCCCTACTTTCAGCTCACCGTTCTCTCTTGTGCCTAGTTTTGCATTGAAGTCTCCCATTAACACCGTATATTGGGTTTTGGAGGAATGCATGGCTCTAGAGATATCCTCATACATTTCCTCCACCTCCCCATCGGGGTGTGCCGAGGTTGGTGCGTAAACCTGTATGACCTTCAGCGAATACCGTTTGGTGATTCTGAGTATAAGGTACGCAACCCTCGTCGACACACTCCCGATCTTTACAACGTTGTTAACGAGAGACTTGTGGACGATAAATCCGACACCTCCTTGGGACAGATGGTCGCCCTCCCGGTGATAGAGCAAGTTGCCGGATTCGAGGATTACCGTGTCCTCCCCCTCTCTTCGGACTTCGGATAATCCTATAATATGCCAGCGCAACTTGTCTATCTCTTCTTCCAGCTCCATGATCTTCTCGTCAGTCCTCAGGGTGCGTGCGTTGTACGTTGCCAGGTCGAGTCGTCTAAGGTGGCAACCGAACCTCCACCGGAGATTCTTAGCACCCCCTGCCCCGCCGTTACCATGGTCGCCACCGTAGCCAGGAATAGCGGGGCCGCCGGGGACTGGGGGCCGTCTGTTTGTTGCTTTAGTCATTGGGGGGTATTTGCCATAGTTGCCACGCTTGGCGAGCGGGTTGGCAACCGCAGTTTTTTTATTATAATTTTGGCTATTATCAGGAAGATGCTGCTGCCCATCTTCTGCCTGTTTCCCTTTGTCGCCTTTTATGACACCCACGGGAGGATATGGGGTAGTGGATATTCTTGACCGCCACTACACGGCTAGCTTCGTTTAATTAAAAATACGATTTTAATTCTTATGTCGCCGGCAAACAAATCTTAGTGGGTAAATTTCGGTGTTCGGGTTAAGATAAGTATTAAGATTTTTTGAAAAAAGATTCTTACTTGGCCCTGGCTATCAATTTTCAAAATCCCCGAATTTTCCCCGCATAATACCAATCCCCATAAAATCCCCAACCGACTTTAAATTCCCCGCAATTTTGGGAATTCCCCACATGTTGACAAAGCTGACATGTGTAAATTCCACAGCGCGAGGCGACACGAGCCGGCCGGGCGGCGGTAGCGCGTGTGTGAAAGGGAAGGGTAGAGTGAGTAGGCATTGCTTCGCACCGAGCTAGATAAGAGTTCGACGTCCGCGATAATATTGACCCTATTGTTAGCTGATTTTATTTTAAGTATTTTCATGATTTTTTTTAATGAAATTATCGTTTCCTTTAGCTGTACTAACATGATGGAGCGTGAATAAAGTTGATAAAACGTTGTGAAAAGATGTTTTTTTCCTCGTGATCGAATTTCTTTCTGACCCATCATCAAGGGTTTGGTTAGTACTATCGTCTGTCTTCGTTTTTGGGAGCGTTTCACTAACACCTAGTATAAAGAAAAAGATTTCATAGTGACCTTTTCACGAGATATTTTAAATTATATAACGATAATACGAAATTTGGCATTATTCCACTACGATTTTGTAGTAAGATATCAGATAAAGCTTCCATAAACTTCCATTGGTATAAATAAGTATTACGAACATTGAGTTATAATGTACTACCTATTACATTATAACTCAATAATTACGAACCGGAATAATAAAAATTCCAAATTTTATTAAGTCATAGACTAAATGAATTTGTCGACAACGTTTTTTGTTTCGGTAATATCAATAGAGGTGTCTAATTTGACAATTGACAAGACTATAGACAATTAGACAATTCGTCAATTTGAAATTTGACATTGACAATTTTACGTACATAGCTCTGCGGGGTGCGGGCTGCGGGCTTGAACTCGAAAAATAAAAATAATAAGAACAGTCTTTTGACCTAAAACAAATTTAACAATGTTTAGAAATTCATTAAAAAATCTTCGGATAAGATATCCATGTTATCTATACCCTGAAAGAGTTTACAAGTAGGTATGAAAGTGAATACTAAGAATAGTGTCATTCACCATTCAATACCGAATAAATAAAATAATTACCTTTTATCCTAATTTACATGATTTTTCATACACAGGTGTAATCAGGCAAAACAATTTAGTGGATTATCCCAATATAATCTTGTACCCAGGAATCGAAAGAAGTTAACAATATTTAACTTGTGTCCTTGCCGATCAATGTTCATACAGACCCAAGATACACCAAATCCAAATTGTTTAAAATTTCTGCCGGGTACAAAAGTTCTTGATCCTGGTCAAACCCTTGATTTTCCAAATATAGGATCAGCGCAATGCAGCCCTCTAGGTAACAATTAATTTTATTATGGTCTAAATATTATTGGTTTAAGCTCATGAATGCTTCTTTTAACAAAATTATGCCAAAACAAATACATTCAACTATGTTGAAATAGATAATAAAACAACTGTTATTACAAAATAATTAGGAAGATTATTGTTTTTAATATCCTAAAAAGCTGTAACACATTAAAACATTTTTGGATGAAAGTATTTGTATAATATTAGACAATCGGTGTGTACACACCCATTGTGCCATTTAGAAGAATTTGCTAATTATGTGAAAAAGTATAAGATAAGTTAATAACCACTACTACTACTAATTAATAATAATAATTAATAACTACTAATTAATCTATACAGATAAATAAATTTGAAGTGTCTGCTTGTAATGTGAAAAGAACAGTTTTCAACTAAATGCATATGACAGTACCTTACTTATAACAAAAACACAATTTTTAAAATTTTTGTCTGTCCATCTGTTTGTTCCGGCTAATCTTCAAAACGGCTGTACTGATTTTAATGGGACTTTCACTGACAGATAGCTAATGTTATAAGGAGTAACTTAGGCTACTTTTATTTTCGAAAATTAATTAGGGTTCCATGAAAAAAAAAATTAAAACCCATAATATCCAATTGTAATAATTCGACGTGGGCGAAGTCACGGGGAACAGCTAGTTAATTAAATAAATAATTTTGTGGACAGATATATAATATGCAATTCTGTCTATAACTTGTTCCAAGATTTCTCAGGCAGTTCCCATTGTCACAAGGAACAAGACATATTGTTAGACATATTTCTGTGTATTGAACATTTGTGTATGTATGTGCCATTATGAAGATTGCATAAATTAGACAATCGTAAAGCTTATGCACAAATAGGAAAATCAAATCATAAACAACTGTGTTTGTTGACAGACTGCCATAAATCCTAGAAAGTTGTGTCAGATCACATTGTGATATTACATAATAGAAAAGTTAAACAATAACTGTCCCATGTTGAGCTAAGAGTTATAAGTTCCATGTCATTATAGAATGTGCCATCTGTTACCTGCCTAACATGTTGTGAAAGGCAACTAATACAATATTGGATTTGTGATTGTGTAGGCTACAGGCTTGCCACCTGTAATAGGTGGGTAGCCTATCACCTCTTCTTTTACAATTTTCAATTAAACCTGGCCTGCTGTTTGGATTCTCCCAATCGGATTCCAATTGTGACTCTGTAACATAATGTTAAACATCATTGAATAGATTTTGGAATATAATGATTGATTAAAATGAAATAAAATGAAAAAAAGAAATAGAATGATTTAAAAAACATTGCCAATCACATAGTATTACTGATTCTAAACAAATTATATAATTTTACAGTATACTGAGAATCCTTTTATGTTATATAATTTAATTTAATTTTATATTTTACAAATCAATTTTTTTTTTCAGCTAAAATGATTTTTCGCATAGAGGGTGTGAAAGCAGTGTTTTTTGGTCCTGATTTTATCACAGTTACTAAACAAGAAGATGATGTTGAGTGGAAATTACTTAAACCTGAAATTTTCGCTACAATAATGGACTTTTTTGCTAGTGGTCTTCCTATTGTTACAGATGCTAAGCCCTCTGGAGACACTCGTATGTTTGTTTTTATTTTGATAACCATAATAAAGTATTGTATTATTTATAACATAAAATTTTACAATTTTAGCTGTATAGTGGCACCGCAAAAGAATCCACTAATTCATTAATGTTTAAGAAGCGACAGAAGAAAATACAACAGGGAATGGGGTAGTGCATATTTCTTTATAACAATTCAAAATAATACACCTATAAGGCAATCTATGGGGAAGGTCTATATTCAGTAGAGGACTTTTCATAGGCTTTATATAAATAATGATGAGTGAATGAAGATATTCATTAATAATATATTCCTGCTTTCGCCAGACATAAAATACCCAGATCTGCAACTGGCAGCAACACCAAATTTAGATTACATCTGATACAACGGCTGCCAAACCTGCTAAGTGAGGCGATTATGGCAAATTCCCCTAAAACCATAGAGGCCCGTGTCTATTTGGACTGAACTTTGACAGACTAATGATGATGATGATGATTAATATATTATATAATGTGTAATGTATACATCCTGCAATATTTTAAATTATTTTTTACTGTAATATTATAGTTACGAATGTAATTAAATAAAGTAATTAAGCTGTAAGAAAATTTGATTAGCCACAAAACACAGCATTTAAATAATTTAGTTAGCATTCATAGATTCTTTTTGCAATTAAAAAAAAAACATTCGGCAATTCTTGTTTTGCAAATAATGTTGATAATGTTCAGTAATTTAATCATAAATAGGTAGCCTATAATAATATAAGTTTGCCATAATTGACCATAAAAGCGAGCAAAACGAGCTCGGGACTGGGGGTACCCCGACTTGGACAGGTTAGGTTAGAAGGGGACGATGGGGTCGAGTGAGAAAGCGAACAGACCCCGCTATCCCCTTCGTGGTTATTTTTTTATAAACTACCTAGTAATAGAAGCCCCACCTCTGTCAACTGCTTAAACGAATATTGCCGATCAATTTAATAATGTTTGCTAGCCATAGTTTGCTGACCAGTTATCTATATCTGCTACTAGATTACATTTCTCTGCTGACAAAAACATGATTACTATGCTAACCCTTTAAATAACACCTTATAATTATTACTACATTTATAGCATTCCATCCTTTGTACTACACTGCCTACATCGAAAATTGCATTCCTGTAAATAATTGTTAGCAACTAAACAACAAGCAACTTTGAGCAAACTAGTCTTTTATCTAAAGTTCTTATCTGTTACAGAAATAAATGATGATGATGATGAAATAGTTCAAATGATTAAAGAACTCCTAGACACTCGCATTAGACCAACTGTGCAAGAAGATGGAGGTGATGTCCTCTTTGTGGATTTCAAAGATGGAGTATTGAGGCTCAAAATGCAAGGTTCTTGTTCATCATGTCCCAGTTCCATCGTAACTTTAAAGAATGGTGTAAGTACAACTGAAATTATTTTTGGACAATGCTAGTTGTCTGCTAATGAGATGACTAAATTATTTTATTTGTCTGCTTATGGGCAACACAGTTTATAGTGGAGGTCAAAATGGTACCTGTATAAGGCATGTAGGATACTTCTCTCTGAGAGTGTGTGTTCTCTCTATCTACTACTATATACTTTATATGAAGTAGATCCACGCGGCAGCTATATTATGGTTGTAGCACAAATGGGTCGGCTCGACCAGCGTAGGACTACGCTCTCACAGAATACCAGCGTAAAATAGCAGCTTAATGCTGCTGTGTTTCGCATGGTGAGTGTAGAGCACCGGATACCCTTTTTACTGAGAACGAGGCATCTGCATTTTGATCCTCAATTGAAGATAAATGTAGATGTCCATGAGCCACAGTATCCACTTACCATCAGGTTGACTGTGTGCTGGTTTGTCACCCTATTCTATAAACAAAAAAAATATAGGACATAGCCACTCTGACAAATTATTAGGTGACGAAATATTATAGGCTTCAGTATTAATAATAAATGACACGATACTTACATTGCAATGTGCGCCAAATGACGTATTTCTTGAAATATTTGTCTGACCACGCACTGGTACTTCACTGCCCATCATCATGATGGCTCGGTAGCATAGTAGGTAAGTAAGTGCAGGGCTACTAGTTCACCTGCTGATCTTGGCAGAGGAACAATTGCTTATATGACCAACAAAATATGTTCCAGAACTGAATGTTTGTCATTATGTATGTAAAAATCTCCCCGACAATATATGAGGAAATACTAGTGAACCACTAATTTCTTTTAAATAGGCTGATATTTTCTGCCACTGGTCGGTCATTAGGGCCTCACTTGTTAGTCGGCTGGTTGCACCACTGCGTGTAGGTAAGGTTAGCATTTGGGTAAAATAAAAATTCCACTAAACATGTAGTTGCTTAGCAGACCTATTAACTGACTTAAATCATTGAACTGTGCATATTGCTAAATATATAGTTAGCGGCACACACTTTAAATGGTGGCCTTAATGTGCAGAGTAAATGGTTTTTGGGACTAGGAAATGCTGGGGCAGCATCATTAATCCTGCTGCTTGTGGTTCTTTGGCTACCCTCTAGTTGCACGAACAATGCCAAAAGACATTTAATCTGCCTTTTAAATAAATATATTTTTTTTATATCTGCCTTTTATGATCAGTTATTTAAAACACAATAGTATATTTGCAGCTTGAAAATAGATTTTTTTGTATAATATAGATTTATATAGATTTATCGGTTATTGCAATAACCGGCCAAATTTGCAGAGAAGATTCAGAATAAGTAATATAGGCAAATAGCGAAGACAAATGAATTTAAAAATATCTCAAACATTTTGTCCTTTTTTCTTTTCAATTCAAAATGCGATTTTTTAACGGATTTTACTGCGTACGCACACATTCATAGGTTTAATTTGGGATAATTTCAAATAAAAGCAGAAGCCTTATTTACTCGTAGTTTCAAAAACTGCAATAACGTTATATCATTATTTATATATTTGAGCTTAAGTTTCAAATTTGGCTACTCTTTGAAAAATAACCCTGTATATCTCATTACAGGTGCAAAATATGATGCAGTTTTATATACCAGAGGTTTTAGCTGTCGAACAAATAGACGATGAAGGAGAAAACTTGAGTGAGAAAATATTTAAAGAATTTGAACAGTTAAAAACAAAGGAGAAAAATGAGTAAACCCTTATTACCTTTAACTTAAGCATTTTAATGGTTACAAAATACCATATTTTATATGTAATTTACATAGAGTATCGAATTAAAAAATAGTTACCTGTTGCTTTGCTAGTATGTATAAATAATTATTATGGATTAGGAATAAAGTTGTTATTTTATAAAGATTTTCGTTTTTATTAGAGGCAAGGGAAGTTCTTGCCTACCATTGAGCCCACAACCAAACATTTTGCTCAAGAAATTACTAAGGCAATGTATTTTATTTTCACTTATGATTAACATTTTAATGGGTAAGTAGGAAAAATACTAAAAACTTAAATTATCAAGCAGTCCTACTGTATGATAATTTAAGTTTTTAGTTTTTTTTTTTATGGGACAGGGGGCAAACGAGCGATAACGATCGTGTGAGCCGCATCACCTGATGGTAAGTGACTACCGCCGCCATGAACAACTGCAACACCAGAGGAACCAGGGGAATCGCAGATGCGTTGCCGGCCTTTTAAAAAGAAGTAGGCTCTTTTCTTGAAGGTGTCTAAGTGGTATCGATCCGAAAAATCGCTGGTGGTAATCGATTCCACATCTTCTAAATCGCACAGTGGTGGACCTCCAATCATCCAGATGGTGTGGATGGTATCGAGAGTTCTGCCACGATGTGCGTTCGTGAATTTTGGGCGGCTGGGATTAATCTCAACAATTCCTCAGAGCACTCCCCCGTGGTAAATGCGAAAGAAAGAAGGGAGCCCCAGCCCAGAGATGGGAACAGTATTCCATGTGAGGCCGAACCTGCGCCTTGTAAAGTTACAGGCGTTGTGCTGGCATGAAATACTGTCCCGCTCTGCTGAGCACGCACGCATTTTATTTATTATAGTTTTTTAATACTGTTTATGTATATGTCAAAGTTATATAAAAAAATGTTATATTATATATATGTAATATTTGGTAAAATTCATTCTTCATAGTTCAACCTATTCGTATTACGTAAAATAAAATGACATTTTTTTTCTGAATAAGGTATGGTAAGGTAGGTATTGTCTTCAATGTTCAAAAATTTAAGAACGGCTATGATTGACGCCTTTTGTGTATATATTTGACGGACCTACGATACAGGACTTCTGTGGAGATAACGTTTTAAAAATACATATACCTAAGCATTAATTAAAAAAACTATGGACTTATATATGGATAATTGGAAGTAGTTCCCGTTTTCTCCATCGCTTAGATTTAGCTTATTATATTGTATTGTATGTATATATATACGATTCGACTTAGCTTAATACAGTTCGATATATATACACAAAATAACAAGTGCAAGCGCAAAATATAATAAGAATTTATAGTTATACTAGCTGGCATATAATGTACTCTGTGCTAGCTGGCCAGGCAAACGTTGTTCTGCCCTTTTCGACGACCCTTCATATAAAAAATCTTTAAATTCGTAATAAAAAAATATTGAGTGTCACTTATCAGGATAAAAACTATCCTATCTCTCAAGTTGGACCAACACAGAGTGTGCAAAATGTCATTGAAATCAGTTCAGTAGTTCATCGCGGACAAACGTGACACGTAATTTTTATATTTAAAGATATATTGCATAGTTAGGTACAGTACCGGTCCTCTGGCGATGTCGGCCGCTAAATGATATTTTCACGTGGTCACACCGGTTGTTTCGATTCCCTATTTTTTCCTTCAATGTCCCGGGATACGGTAAAGCGTGGCCGCTGGCCGAAAATGGCTTAACTTGAGTCGTACACATCCACTCGTTTTCGTTTTAGAGTTCGTTTGTTTACTTAGCCTCACCTCTTGTTCAGAATTTTCATTTGGATTGAAAACAGAAGAAACGGCAATGAATGTATGATTAGATATAGGTACATTACAGTATTATAAATATTAAAATATAGGCAATGACAGCATGAATTGTGCTACAAAATGTTAAACAATTTAATAATACCTAATTAAATTGAATAAAAAGAAATAAAAGCTTTTTTTTTCTTTTAATTTGTAACTAGCTGATATCCGCGACTTCGCCCGCGTTGTATATCAAATATTAACAAAGTTTTCGTATGTGCGAAGGAAAAAACATCAGAAAGATCGCAAGCAAAAATATACTTTGCTTACAAAAATTCTTTGTAAACATGTTATACGTTGCTCCGTTTGTAGCTAAAATTTAATTTTTCAGCTTTATCCTCGTATATCTTTAATTTCTTATCAGATTTGTGTCGTATGTTACTCACGAACTCTTTTTAATGAGACAATTAACTTGTTGCCTTCACAAAAGTCCTCTCTAAAATTTCTTCTACAAAAGTAGTAGGTATCGAGTTTCGCGACTTAATTATACAAATTTCGTGCCTCTCTTTGAAAATTAACAAAGCTGAGGTATTTTATGCAAGGGAACATTATGTAGTTGATATTTTGCACGATGTGTTATCCAGGAATTTTATATGGCGATATCAATAATGTGAAAAATAAACCTGATTGTCCACTTACGAGTTCGCGCCCGTATCGGGCAGACTGCTATCATTCTGTCTGCCAAGCCAACGCCACCCATGTTGGCGTTGTACATTTTAATGACTTCAGGTCGTGGAACTTGCACATATCTTTTACTAAGTTTGTTGTAACGCTTGCACATATCGGATTTTTTGTCACCTTCACAAGTTGACATGAGTAAAACAGCCTTGTTGTCTAACCATGTCGTGATTGAAATTTTTCTATCTGAGAAGCTAAAACCTCAGTAGCTTCGCGGTTCAGTTTCGAGAACTTATTGTCAGGCGTCATGACGCAGTCACTAGGTGCACGATTCTTTATTAAAGTTGAACTGAAGCCACGGTTACTTAAATTCTTGCGTTAACTTCATAGTGGTGAAGTAACGGCCAAAGTACAAATAGTGCCCGGAAACTAATGACATATTCAAGTGCAATACGGTGGACTCTCCTAAATTGAAACCATCACAATGTGGGAAAGTTGTTGTTCCTTCGCGTACCTTCATGTCACAAATACATCCCTTAGGATTGGCCAAAACAAATACTTTAAGACTGACGGGGTTGGGTTTATTTGGGCAATATTGTCTGATACCGCATTGACCTGAAAATGGTATAATCATCTCGCCAACCGAGAGATGCTCTGATTTTTGCTGAATGTGACATCCTGCACAGACACGATGCAGCTCAACTGCACGTTGACTCTCTAAAACATCGTTATCAAAAACAACTTACAGTCGGGCTCTCAACAAAAAAAATTGTCACGAGTAATGTTATCTGCTACTATTGGAACCCGCCATGATTTTTCCCAGAACAATTTGATTTTGGGATAGCCGATACTAGTCATGACCATATTAACGCCAATGAATATCTTCAACTCTCTAATTGTGAGCCAAAGATTCTTTTGACTCTTCATCATTTCTGTTTGATTTGTCGCTTTAACAATCTTTTTTAAAATGTTGTCATCTATATAGTCCTCGAAATGTTCAAACATTTTAAAATTACTGAGACCTTTGCACACTAGCATACTTTTAACAGTGGTTAACAACGGATGGGCCGGCTCGAACCGGGGTGGTACCACGACCTCACAGAATACCAGCGTGAAGTAGAGGTTTACCTTTGCGTTTCGCTTGGTGAGTGCAGGCGGCCGGAGGCCCAATTCCCCCCTCCCCTCCCCTCAACATGGTAGTGGAATTGAACAGAAGACTACCCCAGAAGGGTAAAACTACTCCACTCCTGGGCGTGGGTGCTCAGGCTGCCCCGCGTATTCTTGGGGGGTCAAAATTCCGCTCGCGACTAATACTGCTCGAGGCAAGCGGAGCAATAAGACCAAGGCGACCCCTTTCACGCTATCCGTGAATTTTTGCAATATCAAGGGGCTTCATTCCAACCTTAACGCTGTCCATTACCATCTAGAGATGGCGAAGCCGGCCTTGCTCTTTTTAACCGAGACTCAGGTGTCCTCTCCGGCTGGTACTTCATATCTCTTCATTCTCTTCATTCTCTTCATACCAGGACAGAGGTATTTTCCGAACCAGTGGTAAATAAAATAATGACTTTCAATAAGTATTATGTAATAATCCATATTGAATAAAAATCATTCTATTCTATTCTATTCTATTCTATTCTCCTACCCGGGGTACAAATTTGAACACTCCTTTGTGCCCCGGGCTGGAGTTTGCGTATACGTCAGAGAAGACATCTGTTTTCGACGCCTCGGCAGTCTTGAAGGTACGGATCTGTCCAAATTATAATTTAAACAATTAAAATGCAATATTAAACATAAAGTTGAAATATATTCATTTGGAATATTGAATATTTATAGTATTAGTTAACGCATAAATTGTCTCTAAAAATCTCTAAATTTATTAAAATTCTGGTTAAAATATTCAAAATGTATTAAATCATATAAATACAAGTCGATTATATTGCAATAATAAAGATAAATAACATTTGTAATATAATAGAAAAAATGGATCAAAATTTTCTAAGTTGATGAAGGTGTTCCTGTAATAATCGGAAAATTTCTAAGTTGATGAAGGTTTTCTTGTAATGTTCCCTTATATGGGGGCGTTGCCGGAGATGCATACCCAAGGTTGTACATATATATGGAGTGGTCGGCTGACCGACTGAGTACTAAGGTTGCACAATGACTAGTCCTATATTAGGGACTTATGAAAGTAAGGTCTATGGAACCAAAGCATTAATATAGAAGGTCTCTATGATGCATAAGCATTATGATAGCAGAGTTATGACTTGAAGTCCCATATGAATAAGACATACAATAGCATGATCTATGAAATAAAGCAAATATGTGGAAGGTCTCAAATATGTAAAAGCATTATATTGAAAGAAATGGGACTTGAAAAGGATTATTATAGTGGCGTGTAGGTTGCTTCGCATCCTCCGAGACCGAGGTAAACTTGGACTCTAAAATTATTAAAGTTATGAGCAAGATTATTTGTTATATGATAGAAGAACGATATTAATAAATAATGAAGAGCTGTAAATATAAATCGTAAGATAGTTTTG